AGGTGCAGGAATTGTAACACCAACCATATCTATCATCAACTTCGGTTATCTTGGCTTTGATTGTATACTCCATCACCCATCCAGTTGTAATTTTTGTTCACAAACTATGTTATAATAATCAGTTTAACGTTTTAGTGAATACTATACCTCATCAACATCATGCCACACGAGATTGTTAACATATGTTTCAATGAAGTTCTATTCTCAAACATTTCCTTCTCAATCGGAACTTGATTTAGAATCTTCTTGTGTAATTGAATTACGGGTAGAATTCCCTTTCTAAAATAACAAAGACTATATAAAATGTTAAATATGAATCTATATGTGAAATTACTTTAAAAAACTGTTTGTCAAACACATACTCTTTCTGTAGAGAATGCACCTCCTCAATATCTAAATTTATATAAATTCTAAATGCCGAAGTTGTATTGATATATAATCTTCTTGTACGGAAAAAAAATAAGGTACTTATCGAAAATACATTAATTTCATATAATATATTTTTTTTACCTTGGAAGTCTCTAACATTTATTGAAGTAACAATTATGACAATTGTGTTGGTATTTGCTGATTGCAAATCTTCACCTATCTCTTCAGAAAATTTTCCCCATAACGTAATGTCAATTGTTTCTCTAAAATTAATATTAGAGTAAGTTATTTATAGTGGAAGAAGAACGAAAAACATTAAAAAAAGAACGTATTGTGCCATCTACAATCTGATGTCCCTTTTTTTAATCTTTGTTGATTTGATCTCTTTAATTTATCCTATTGCATTCAAAACTCCAATGATATTTGCATATAATTTATCATATTTGATGTACAAAGATATTTCTCTTGCATTTAAAATACAAATATTCAAATTAACTATATCTGATAATAACCTTGTATCATTTGTTCTAGTCTGAAGATCGCGAAGAACAGCAAAATCAAATTTATATCTTGGAATAACAATTCTCGGTTCTTTTATTTCTTGCACAGCCATGATCATGAGAAATTGTATACGGTATATACCGTCAACAGGTCTGTAAGAGGGAGCAGATGGTATGACTTTTATATGTATGATCAAATATATCGACCCTTCATGAAGCTAATTTTTAAACTTCGCAATGCTATTCTTTGGTATCAAGGCATGAATAACTTGATTCTAAAAAACCATGAAAATCACAAATTTAAACAAACCTGTATAAATCAGAAATAAAAGTCTTAGCATTATTTTTAGACTATATTTTATACCTGTTGATCAATCAAAATCATGTCAAATCTCATAAGGTCATCACCCATTCTGAAATTCCTACATTCCCACAATCTAGATACTCTGACAGTGACTATCCAATCATCTCTTGATTCATCAATATCTTTAAGCAAATTATTAGACATTGTTATGACTTGCCTGTAAAAAGAAATTCATCTTTAGTACAATTCTATAAAAACAATAACGATTCCCAACGGAGATTTTACAACTAAAGCAGATGTTGGTGTATCACAATTATAAATATTTTCAATTATATAATCTAATTCATAGTATAAATATTTCTTATCACAATTTAATAGTGTGTAGAATTTTTTGTTCGGTAATGAAATTTTAAACTCCAAGAAGAACTTACTGATTTACAATTGTCACTACAATATTGTTCGTTAGTTTCTTTATTACAATTCTATAATATAACTATATGCAAATTAATAGCTTTTATAGACAAATTCATAGTCCAACATATACAGTATTACAATAGAAAGATAAAAACAATTGAAGGTATCACATTACCTGTAACTATATTGCAACTATGCCAGCAATTTGTTTTTTTTTTTTTTTTTTTTTGGGAACAATTGATCTAATCATGTACTTTTTTGGTACATTTACTTATTTCTCTTAATCGTGTATGACAACATAAACAACTACATATCTATAACAAACACATTAATTTCAAGAGTTATGTATAAAACCTTTCACATTTAGATAAATACTCCTCACAATTCACATTAATTTCACATTAACAGTAATCCATAGCAAATACAATGTATCGATCTCTTTCAAATAAATATCTATCCACAAAATTACATCAAATTCAATAGCACTTAATAAACAAAATAATAGTAATAACAAAATTAAATAACAACAGAGATGCCACGAAAATATCCTAAAAGGTGAAGCAAAAACAGATATATAACAATCCTGTTACATTAAAATAAATATCTACTTAGTCTTTAGTAGAAAGCTGGGATTTTTTTATGCGGGCAGCTGTAATTCTTATTTAAGTTGTATTTGATACAACTTATACTATTATGTGACATAAATAGTACCATTTATTTCATTAACACTTTAACAAAAACACTACATTAAGAACAATAGTAAATATCATAATACCAAACATCATCAAAATACTGAATACATCAATCAAAAAGGAAGTACGTTAACCCATAATTAAACCAAAATTATGATATCATGAGCATTAATAGTAATCTCACATTGAAAGTATCACATAATAGTACAATGCACCAATCAATTTTAGATAAATGTATATCTATAAACATTTGCAGCGTCAACACAATACACCTATATAATTATTAATAGTACAAATCCAATGCATCAAAAAGGAGCAATTGTAAAGCTACAAAACAGGATATCAAGAGACTAACACCATTAAGAACGACATTAAATATCAAAATACCTAACATCATCGAAATACCGAACACATCAATGAAAAAATAAGTACATTAACCCATTATTAAACCAAAATTCTAATATCCTAACCATTAATAGTAACTCACATTAAAAATATCACATAACAGTATAATGCACCGATCAATTTTAGATAAATATATATCTATAAACATGTGCAATGTCAACACAGTGCACCTATATAATTATTAATAGCAATCCTACGTAGATGTCATTAAACTACAAATCCAACACATCAAAAAGGAGCAATTGTAAAGCTACAAAACAAGATATGAAGAGCTAACTCCAATCTTTATATCGTTTTATTTAGATTTTTGCAATACCATTGCAATGCACTTATATAATTGTTATTAATACACATCCAATGTGTTAAAATGTTTAGACCTTTGGAATGCCAATGCAATGCACCCATACTAACAAAAAAAGTAACAAATCATCATTCATAATCTGATAGAATGATTGGTTTGGCTGTCTATTAATTACAATTGATTAGTATAAATATTATTGTTAACCATTGAGTTTTTGAAATAAAACACACCTTTGATATATTGAATAAGTTATGACTCCGCAGATAGTTTATTATAATCAAAATCGTCAAATTTATCATATTACTAAGAAACTAACTCCAATCTTTATATATCTTTATTTAGACCTTTGAAATGAATTTGCAATACATTTACAAAATTGTTATTAATACACATCCGACCTGTCAAAATGGTTAGACCTTCAGGATGCCAATGCAATGCAGCCATACTAACAAAAGAAGTAAAAAATCATCATCTATAATCGGGCTGCATGATTAGTTTGGCAATTTGATTATTACAATTCATTCGCATAAAATACCATGATTTAGAAACCACACATTTGATATATTGAATAAATTACAGCACAGCAAATGGTTTATTACAATGCAAATCATAAACTTTATCATTTATAGATTGATACTGAAATTTTCAACTGAAAGAGACATTGAGCCGCTTCAGTTTTTTATTAATATTATAGTTTGGCAGCTTGGCTGATATCAACTCAAAGAGACATTAAGCCACTTAATTGTTTATTAATATTACAGTTCGGCATCTTTAAAAAATTGTCTAACGAATTTTATGGAATCTGTTACCTAACCATTGTCTATAATTATGATTGTTCAAAGTCTGCTACGGTCGATAAACAATTCCATAGCATTTTCATAACATTACTCTTAACTTTTTAGGCAATGTTAACTATTTTTTCTTTTTTGATTTTTTAATATATGACTTTTTGACTAATAAAAAATTTATAAAGTCAAAATTTAAAGGTATTTTCGTCTTTTCGGTAAAATATTAACAGAAAACATAACAAAACCTAACGAAGAGTGGGAAAGTGTCATTTTCAAACTTAAAGTGTGAAAAAGTGTCGTTTTGCCAAACCTTGGGTGGGAAAATGTCTTTCTCCCTATTCAAAGTCTGTTACGAACAATTTTAGTCATTGTAGTTAACAATTTTATCCCTCTGACTTTTTGTAAATTAAAACAGAGAATAAAACTTAGAATAAGTTATTATCTCATAAAATACTTGAAAAATGTCATAAATGGCCTCCACACAATTTAATAAGTCTAATTGCTATTATTTAATTTGGTAGAATTAAGCGTCTTTGTTCGTTTTTCATTGGTAATCCCACTATTATATTTATTATTTAATTGATTAAGGGATTGATTTTAATTAATTTACTATCCCCATTTCTATGAGAATACAATAATTTTATTTGAGTTGACAAGGTTAACCAAATTAAGCTCATAAACCAATATATCTCACTGACCTCTCGAGGCGTTTGGTTCAGAAAATGTTTGATTATTACGAATGTTGGATTAATGAAAAATTAGATTACTTTGAAGATCACTGGAATCCTTAAGAAAATGTGTTTGATTAATTAGTGGGTATGTTATATTAATATGTTTGGTTAGGAGGAATAAATTTATGGGTATGTTATTTAAATTATTGAATTGTCCTCTAATTAAATATTATTATTATATTATTTTTTAATATTAATTATTATTTGGATTATTATAACCCCCTGCATTTAAAAACTTAGCAAAAACAATCTCATAATAAAAGTTTGAAAAATCAATGAAGCACCCCCACCAACCCAGCCACTACCAGCCGCCGGCAATCACCGCAAGCCGCCAACAGCCGGCAACCTAACGGAGCACGGAAGGCAGGAAATGGCTTGCGTGCATTGTATGGCCATTTCCGACCAGAGATCTAGCCGAAAAATGGCCAAACGTGACAGATCTGGCCGTTGACGACCAGATCGACAGATCTGGCCTTTGCCAGATATCTAGCCGAAAATGGTCATATCGGCTCACGACGACCATTTTCGGCCTTCCATGCGCTGTTCTGGTGGCGGCAACGGCTGGCCACGATGGTTGTTGCCGGTGGCAGATGGCGGCAGGTGGGTGGGGGTGGTGGCTTGGGTGGGCTGCAATTTGTTTTGAATTCAAGGATAATTTTATCCAAAAAGTTAATTAATTAGGGTGAAATAGTAAAAGTCATATTCATGTAAATAAATTTTAAAATAAAGGTATCATTGTCCTAAAATTTTATTAATAAGAGATAAAATTGTAATAAAAAAAGATAACCATGATAATCTTAGAATACCAAGGAAAATTGAGGTAATCAAATTACCTCCAATATTACTAATAGCCACTATTGGTATTTGAAGATTACCAATATCTTATATTACTTGACAACTAAACATGATAATCAAATAATATAAGATGACTTAACCCCAATAATTTCACATAACCCTAATAATTCCACGTAACCCTCAACCAAAAGTCCCTTTCATATTATGCTTTTCAATTCTAAATTCCATCTACAAAATCTCCAAATTATGAATGAAGTTACTTAGTTTCCAATTTACTATACAAACTTAGGCATGTTTTATTCTGAATCCCCAAACAAAAACTCTGAATCTCCCACTAGGAGGGAGGCTAAATTTTAACTAGAGCTTTTCGAGGTATTTTCGAAGAGAATGACATCTCAGCTCTCGCTCGAGTTCACATTATTAATATAAAGTCAAAGCTTAGAGAATGATCTTTCCTTCATTTAACAAATAGTTAAAAGCGCATTTCTGACTTGTTTAATAGTTTCTATTTCAACTTAGCAATAAACATTAAAAAAGCATCGCCTTTGAGATCAGGTTTTTCAAAATCCAGATTTGTACTTCTTCAACTTTGATTTTAAAGCTTCGTGTATTGTTCAGTTTCAAGAACTGGAATTTGGAAGAAGATATGGCAGCGCAAATTTTATTTTTAAGAGAACGTATTGCAAACTTTTGTAATGAAATTTTGGTGTCCATAAACTTGCCTCCTCGTTTTAGGAATATATTTGACCCACTGGAGGAAGCTCCCTACAAGTGGACTTTAGTTTGGGTGTCCATAATATCAACCTTATTGGATCCCATGTTCTTCTACATTTTTCTGGTCAATGATTACAAAAAATGCCTTCGGTTGGATACGAAATTGATGATTGCTGTATGTCTTCTTCGGTTTCTTGTTGACTTGTGTCATATAATCTTCGTCTTCTATCACGAAAGACGAAGGCGAATAATTTTTGTTGTCTTAGATGTCCTCTGCATTCTTCCTCTCCCACAGGTAATTAAGATGTAGTATAATTTATGAATTTTATTTGCATCTTGCAAAGTTATATTACAATTTATGCCCAGACAATTTTGCTCTCTGATCATTTTTCTAAGTATTCATAATCATAAAAGTACAATATCTTCGTTTATAAATATTAACATTGTGGCTTATATATTGATTTTAAACTTAGATGCATGTGCTGTGTCCAGATGGTGACTTTGATCATACATAGGGCAAGAGGCTGGGAATTTATTGATGCATTGAAGTGGCTTAAATATACCATCATTGTGCAATACTTACTAAAGCTTGTTCGTATCTGCAAGTCATATGTAGAAGCTCAAAGAGCTCCAGGCTTTCCTGTTGAGGTTATAAAATGCCTCAACGCTGCCTCCTGTTTCATTATTTACCTGCTTCCAGGTCATGTAAGTTCATGTTATAATACAAAATTTATGTATACATATTGATATAGAGTATATAGAAACATTTTAAGCTAATGTAGTATTTTGAGCCCCTTGTATTGATATAATTTTAACAAAAAGTCACTGATCTGTTTTTAGGTATTTGGAGGCCTATGGTTTTTTTATGGCTATAGAAAGAGAAACTGATTGCTGGAACGAAGCCTGTTTATATTACCGTAGACGTAGCTGCGGCTCTTTGCACTGTGATTATCACAGTCCTGCAGGCGACAACAAATTTCTGGGTCTATATTGCCCAAAGATCATACGAGATACAACTATCTATGATTTCGGGATATTCCAAGATGCTCTTCAATCTGGTATTGTGGAGGAGACAAAATTTACGACCAAGCTCTTCTACTGTTTAAGATGGGGATTGCTAACTACAAGGTTTGTTATCTATGTATATAAATATATAAAATCTTCAAATGAGAAGATTAAAGAGATGGATATCTACATTATTAAACATCTGCATTAACACATATAAATGATTTGGTTTGTTGGAAAGATGTAGTTGAGTTCAGCTAGCTGTTCTAGCCAATTGACCTGTTTCTATCATCTAATTAATTGAATTGACTGGACTCTGTAGCTGTGTGCATGTCATGTCCAATGCCCAAGTGGCTCTTGGTTATTTCTCTGACACCAAATATATAAACAGGGATCGTTCACTCTATCTCCATATTTAATTATTACGTTCTTCCAACTCCTTTAGAAAAGAGAGGCTGTCCAGAACAGAAAATACATAATACATTATATCTATGGTTCCTGGTATCCTTACATACAATCATCTTTAAATTTATATCCCTCAAGGCCATAACAGACCCCCTATCCTAATGTTTAAACTAACCCATTAACATTATTGGGCTCTTGCTAGCAACGTAGTAGCAATAAGTTCGTAGCTTGTGAATAAAAGATTTGCGGAGCTTTATATCTTTCTTTTTTTATTTGTTGAAAATATCTTTTTTCTTCTTTTTTTTTTACCTTCCAGCGCGTGTAAATTAAGTACTTCGCCTATGTGTTTGTCTTGGGTAGTTCCCGGCCCTTTCATTCGAGACTCACCTCGTTTGGAGAAGTCTTTTCTTCTTCCACATAATTAAGCAAAAGTGCTTCCTTTGTTAGTAATAGTAAAACTTATATCATGTTAACTCTCTTGCTGGACTCATTTTAACAAATTGTACATATGCATTTTTATTGACTAAAATTTATGTACCAATTGCTTGCAGTTCAATGGCCCAAAACCTCCGTACAAGTACCGATGTTGAGGAAAACTTGTTCGTGATTTCGATTTATCTAACCAGCCTCATGCTACTTGTCCTTTTATATGGAAGATTGCAGGTTGGTATATATTTTTCTAGTTCTTGTCTCTTATATAGTTGATTTATTATGCTACAGACTAGATGAATTGCAAAAGCACAATGACTTTAACTGTGTTTCATGTGTGAAACAGATATATCTGTAATCTGAAACGCAAAGATTAGAGGAGAGGAGATTGAGGGCACGAGATACCAGGCAGTGGGGAGTCTTTAGAATGCTGCCTGAGAATCTTCAACGGCAGGTTTACGCGTATTACCAACAATTTAGCGCAGAACATTATCTCAACGATCTCCCAGAGCACCTGCGTAACCAAATAAAAAGAGTACTTTGCCTGGAAGTGCTTAGGACTGTGAGTTCTTTTTCAAACCTTCTACTCATAATTTGATTATCTTTTCAATAGTCAAGGTGAAAAAATACAGAACCGGGCTGCACTGGAGGAAAAAAAAAGCTAGTGAATGACTAATCCTTAGGAAGGCTTTTGTAGTTTACATGCAATATTTCATGTGGAGCATAACTTGAGAAGAAAGGGAGAGAAGGATATGGAGAGGCAAAGAAAGAAAACAAAAGGGCGAAAAAGAGAAAGAGAGAGAAAGACAGAATGAATGAATGGTTAAGAAAAGAAAATTAAAATGTAATAGTTATAATGCCAACTCAAACATTAAAACAAAGATGATGGATGAATATTATTAAATAGTGTCAAATTTTCTACTGAAATGTCTATTAATCCTGGATCTGTTTAATTAGGTGCCACAATTTGGAGGAATGGAGGAACAATTTTTGAACCAAATGTGTAACCGTCTTCAGCCGGTGCAATACGGGACAGGGTCTTCCATTGTAAGTCAGGGTGAGCTAATTAGGCAGATGCTCTTCGTGATGCAAGGCAGTCTATCAACGAGTATGAACGGTGGAGGCATTGTCTTTATGGCGGATCCCTATTGGGGTGAACTTACCGTATGGGCTTTTGATCCTAACCCCTTGCGCCCATTACCCCGCTCACCAGGAAATCTTTGTGCTTTTACAGAAGTTGAAGCATTTGCTCTAATGGCTGAAGACTTGAGGGAGGTTGTACAGGGATTCTTGAATGCAGGAGCGGGTCAACCCTAGGCAACTAGGGTTCCAAATCTTGCGAGTTAATATTTCCTTTTGTTAACAAGAAAAAACTTAATTTGTACCACAAAAACTTTGCATACAAACTGAGAGGTGACATGAGATGGCGAATGATTGTATAGAAAAACTTGAACTCATAAAAATTCAATAAATGCAAATAATCTATAACAACGTGGTAATAAAAGAGTGATGCGGCTTTGAAACTGAAAACAAACAAGTTACAAGAAATGCATAAAATAACAACATAACATAATGATTTACCCTAATTCATTCCTTTTTCAATGAATTATGTCCAGCATTTAAATAGAGCGATTTTATTGAGTATTAGAAAACTACATAATACAAAGATGAACAGTATTGACAGCTCACTCTTCTCTCTACTCTCACACCTTAGGTTTTTCACTATTACAAAAAGACTTAACAACTTTTTCCCACCCAAATAGTGGTTTAATGACATTTTCCCACTCACAGACTTTAAAAATACTACTTTACTACCCAAGTTTATATTCTGGCAGTGAACAAAAAGCAAACTCATTCTAGATTATTAAGGCTTTTAAAGAGGGGAGGCTAATGAATCTTTTGGTGGTACAATGTTAGATTTTGGTAGTTGTGATTGATCGGATTTGACTTGGGAAGGACGATTGTGCAAACCCTAATTGTTCGATTATCGGTGATTGGTGGAGTCGGCAGGAGTATGGTTTGAGGGTTTTTTACGAGTGATAATCAGTGAAAAGAATTATGGTGATGTGAGGTCACAATGATGTCGGAATCGGAAATGGAATATAAATTTGGATAATAAAATGATATTTTAAAAATCTGTGGGTAAAAAACCGACATTAAATCATTATTTGGATGGAAAAAAGTCGTTTACTCTTACAAAAAATACACAATAGAAACATAACCGTAGTTGTATTAATACCTAATGCTGCATCAATTTTTATTAACAACTATGTAATATTTATCTGTATGGTTTTATAAATTATTTCACTTTATCTCATACCATATCAATTTTCATATAGTAATTAAATTGGGAAAGAAAGTTAAAATTTAACATTATTGCTTTGTATTTCAAGGCACATTAAATGATACATATGCACGTATGATGTCTAAGGCAAAAAGTTAACAGTACTTTAATCTTTCTGTTGACTACCAGTACTGTTTTTTATTTTTTTTTTAGTTTGATTGTTTAGATTTTAGTGTTAATTTTGAGGTAATTTATTATGAGTGTCACCGTGTCAGTAAAGATTTTATTCATTTTTACTGCACTTCTAAGTTCCCCATGCGTTGACCCTACTTTTCAGCTTGCACTCGTGAATGCACAAGCTGTGAATTGAGTATTTCTGTATAAGTATAGGAGTCTCAGCTTAACATCCGTTTGAATTTGTAAGAACTGAATAATACTTGGACGATTGGCAAAGCTTTGTTTAGCTTGACGGCAGCTGGCTTTGTACAACTAAGCAAGCTGGCTGCGGTTCTTCATCATATAATTTTTTTAATGAAGTTTTCATAATTTGAACTTCCAGATCATTCTAAATCATTAAATTATTTCTCAACATTAATTCTGATTAATAATTTATTGTTCAATTAATTGATTAGGTCATTGTTAGATTAAATAAACCTGCCTGACAGTATTATATTGGAAGTGGTCTATTTAAACGAGTATTATTTAAACAAGTGTGATTCTTGTTTCGTTAGGTTATTACTTATTGACTTTGGAATATATACTTGGCTTCCTAGATTTAAAATGAGGGTGTGGAGCCGTGGAGGAATATTTTTTTAAGGTATATTGTAATACATTAGAATGTTTATGGTTACAACACTCTTTTTTACCTATAAAAATAGTCTAATCTTGAGCTCAGACTTTACAAGTATCTTTGATGGTTATCCGTATCAATACCTGGTTATTTCCCGCTAAAGGGTCAACTCTCTCCACAAAGACTGGTCATAATTTCCCATTGAAGTTCTCATCCCTGGAAGAAAGTTTACCTATTCAAATCTGCAGAAATCCGAAGCTGTATTCTTCTTCTGCGCTATTTATCAGGTAAGTAGTCGTTTCTTTTACTGGTACATATGTCTTCAGGTCTTCAGACTTGATTTCACAAGAGCCTAGAAATGGAAGAGCTTGAATGAAAATTTAATTAGCATTCTCTTCTTATCTGAATTTTTCTGTACTTTTAGATACACATAATAAGTGCGTTTCTAGAGATATTATCTATTTTAGAATAAAGGATCACACAATTTTATATTGAAAAGATTTCTCTAGATAATGAATGTATCATTATGTCATATAAACGATCAAAACTCTTATTTTCTAGCTGATGCTGGGCTTTGTACCAACAATATCTAACAATGACAACACAACCATTATTTGTTTAAGTAAAAGCTCATATGATCAAACAAATAAAAATGAAAGTCAAAACTGACACTTGGACAAAGGGCAAAGCATTGGTTAATTAATTACCTCAGCTGCAAGTTTCAACTGACTTGGGATCAGTCAGCAAGTTTCTTGCGGCTGTTTTATAATATAATCCAATTTGTTTTAATAATTTAAACTTTCAAATCATTCCAAATCATTAAATAAATAACATCTCACATGTCATCAGACTTTTCAGAATTTATTCTGGTTAACAGTTTATTGTGGTTATTAATTATTCAATTGATTAGGCCATTGTAAAAGATCTTAAGATTGAACATGCCTTACACGGTCAAACAACAAAGCTACGGACACCGATAAATCTGTATCAAAAATGTGTATTGGCTACGTGTAAGCGTCTCTGAATTTTTTTATAATTTTTTCTAGTGAACGGCCGTCCATCAAATTTGGACGGCCGTTCACTCACATGGACACCGTCCATATTATATAGGGGACGTCCATATACAAGGGACGGGCGTCCCCATTAAAGGACGCCCGTCCCTCATTAAAATACTAAAAAAAATTTATAAACATTAGGGACGGCCGTTCATCCGTATAGACGGTCGTCCTTGTTTTGGACGGGCGTCCGAAAATAAGGGACGCCCGTCCTTAACCAAAATATAAAAAAAAAAAATAAAAACTTTGGGACGGTCGTCCATAAATTTTGGACGGCCGTCTCTTGCGTTTGGACTGGCGTCCATTACGAATGGACGCCCGTCCATACTTAAAAAAAAAAAAAAAGAAATAGAAAAAAAAAAAGGCTAAACCTCTTCTTCTTCGTCTTCTTCTTCGTCTTCTAAACCACTTGCAGTCCTCTTCCAAACCAGCTTCGAGCTGGAAGACAACCCTCATCCCAGCCCAACGGACGCGTATTGCACTCTGGCACCATCTCCAGCAGCTAACCTTGTCGTCCCCACAGATACAATACCAACTTTGCATAGCTTCTCCGCCATTTTCATTTTGCTCTCAGTCCAGAACAGGACCCAACTTTGCTCTCTTTCCGTTCATCCATAATGAGCAAGATGCTTTTCTTTGCCATAATGATGACTGTCTAGACCCAACTTTGACACTTGCATGTGCTTTTGACTATAGGGATCTGTTTACCCTTCCTATGTTATCAAATGAAAATAAGAGAGCAACTGCTGCTAAATTTGAGCTTGCTTCATTGTATGGGGGCAAATTGATCAGCTAGCGTCATAGCAGCTTTTGAGTTTGGAGGAATGCAAAACAAAGGGGTCAAGAAGCACGGTTTGTTCTCAATTTGTCTCTTCAAGCATCATGAATATGCTGCTTGGTATGGGTAAGCAACTTCAGACATAATTAGTTAGGAATGGGTCAAGAAGCACGGTTTTTTTTTTTTTATTTTTTTTTAAGTATGGACGGGCGTCCATTACGAATGGACGCCAGTCCAACTTAAGGGATGGCGTCCATTCGTAATGGACGCCAGTCCAAACGCAAGGGACGGCCGTCCAAGTTATGGACGGCCGTCCCAAAATTTTATTTTATTTTTTTATATTTTGGTTAAGGACGGGCGTCCCTTATTTTCGGACGCCCGTCCAAAACAAAGGGACGACCGTCCATAACGGATGAACGGCCGTCCCTAATGTTTATAAATTTTTTTTATTGTATTTTAATGAGGGACGGGCGTCCTTTAAATGGGGACGCCCGTCCCTTGTATATGGACGTCCGTCCATATAATATGGACGGGCGTCCATGTGAGTGAACGGCCGTCCAAATTTGATGGACGGCCGTTCACTAGAAAAAAATTATAAAAAAATTTAGAGATGCATTACACGTAGGCCGATACACATTTTCGGTGCAGATTTATCGGTGTCCGTAGCTTTGTTGCACTGCGAAAACCGGTGGCTGAGAACGGTTTCTTTGATCCACAGTAAATAACACAATAAAATCATTACAAATTCATAAAGCAGGCCTTTATTCAAAAAAATATAAAATAAATCCAAGAACGACACAGAAATGGTTAGACATTCGCTCCTTACATTTAAAATGGAGGAGGAACTACGAAGGAATATTATTTAAGGTATTTTATTAATAATTTATAATGTTTAGGAATGCATCAACCTTTTTCATTTATGTTCATTTTAATTTTTTTCAAATCACCCCCCTTCCCTGCTCAATAGTCAACTCTTTCTGCAAAGTCTGATCTGAATTTTCCATTGAAGTTTTCATTTGTAAAGCAACTGGAACAAAGATTACCTTACCTAAATTTGCAGAAATCTGAAGAATTCTTATTCTTCTCCTTCTCCTTCTTCATCATGTAAGTGTACATTCCATTTACTGTTCCAAATGTCATAAAACTTGGTATATTTATGTCCAGAATGATTCAAGGTATATTTTTTTCAGGCCTTCGGACTTGAATTCAGAGGAGCAAAGACATGGAAGAGCTTCACAACTTGAATGGTCTAAAAGCCTTTACGAGTTAACGAACTATGCGGTCAAGAGTGTGCTTCATTTGAAGAAAATGGTTGATCCAGATGAGACATTGAAGTACTGGGCTTATTTTGCAGTGTGTGTGACTTCAATCTCATTTGATTTTTTGGTTTTCTACATTCCTGTGATCGATGACGATGGAAAGTGCCTTGAACTGGATACACAATTGGGAGCTAAGGCTATTCTCTTGCGTTCGTTCTTCGATGTTTTTCTCACGGTCATTTTTTTTCTGGAACGGTTTTCTGATTCCTATGATCCTACTCCTGCGAGATATGGACGAGAAAAGCCATCTCATATTACATCGAATTTTTTCGGGTATCTCTCCTTATTTGACCTTCTACTTGTCCTTCCCCTCCCTCAGGTAAGGCAAACTCTTCACGTATAATTTTTTTTTTACACAGGAATTTAATCTTATGCTCTCACGTAATTTGTCGAGATAATTTATACAATTTTCTGTTGATGAAATTAATATAATTTATGGACTCAAATGTTGTGCTCTGAGCAGCTGCTGATATGGAATATCACTTCAAATATGATGAGGTTGAAATTTTGGGATGCAATGAAGTTGCTGAAATTTTGTGTGTTTTTACAAGATGTTCCAAGGGTTATTAGAATCTATCCATTGTTTACGAAAGCTATCAGGACTTCAGAAAATCATGCAGAAGCGACATGGGTCAAAGCTGCATTTACTTTTCTTCTTTACATGCTTGCTGCTTATGTAAGTTAAACAGCATTTTATGTGTTAGCTAATTAGATAATTGAAATTTTGATAACTGTGTGTATATTTTTTAGGCATTTGGAGCCATATGGTATTTAACGGCCATAGAAAAAGAAACTGAATGCTGGGAGAAAGCCTACACAAATCAAACTGGATGTAGCCAGCTGGGTTCTTTGTACTGTGGTAGCAGTTCAAGAAACTACACATTTCTAGACGGATTTTGCCCAACAAAGACACGAAATACAGCCGTCTATGACTTTGGAATGTTCCATGATGCTCTCCAGTCTGGCATTGTGGAGGTGACAAATTTTCCCCAAAAGTTTTTACATTGTTTCCTATGGGGCCTGCAAAACCTCAGGTTTGTGCATATATGATTTATACATTTCATGGTGGTGGGAGCTCCAGTCGAGACGTGGTCAATTTATGAGGCCCTCTTCTCTGCCATACTGACCTGCTTTTCAGTTCTTTTTTTATCTCTGTTTTTCATTTAGTTTGTGAGCCCTATAAGTTTAACAATTTATTATTACTAAATAACCCAAAAAAATATGAAGCCTTGATCCAATCATTTGGCATTGAAAATTATAAAATTTTGTTTTTAAGCATGGTATCAATAAACAGAAATTGTAAGTCTGATTGTTGTTTATTGATACCTGTTGTTTATACTTACCTTGACTATGTTACCATTGTAGATGGCACAACTAAGTTTCGGCTTATCTGATCGAATTCTGGTAATCATTTGCGGAGCTTTATGCTTTTATAATGGTTTCATGTTTTCTTATTTTGTGTGTGATTTTTCAATTCTGTTTCATTTATTCTCAGTTTCTATGAATTAAGTCAGGTTTTTCAAGCATTTATCAAATTGCATTATCTATTCTTTATTTTACAATACACCTCTTCTCACCATTTTCAGTGCACAAAATCAAATTCAACTGATCCCCTCTAAATTTGGTCTGAAAAGGATTTGATCTATAGACCTTTTGCTTCCATGGCAAGAGATTTAACCAAAGACTATCATATTCTTCAAGATATGAGCATTATCTATCATCTTAAAACTTGGTACTTGAAATTTCTAATATAATGTTTGATGTTTTACAATTGGATTTAATTCATTTTGCAGTTGTTTTGGTCAGAACATGCATACAAGTAGCAATGTGTGGGAAAACTTATTTGCGATTTTGATTACCATCAGTGGGTCAATGTTGCTTCTTTTCCTCTTTGGAAATATGCAGGTTGTTATCTATTTTTTCTTGTTTCTTATCTCTCAATTTATATATATATTTATTGTTTAGATGAAGCACAGTATTGATTTTAATTTTTATCAACCATACTATTTCTGAAAAAGGTATATGTGCAATCCAAATTTGTAAGATCAAAGGAGAGGAAATACAAGGTGCGAGAAATAGAGGAGTGGAAACCCTTCAGAAAGCTCTCTTGAGAGTCTTCAACAACAGGTTAAGAAATACCAGCAATACATACGGCAAAAAACCAGAACTATTGATGTCGAAAATTTGCTCCATAATCTTCCCAAAAAACTTAGAAAGAACATGAAGCGTGAGCTCTGCTTGGAGCTGCTAAAGAAGGTGAGTTCTTGTGTCTCTTAAATTGCCAACATTCCTTCTATCAATGGATATATATTTGACATATTCTCTTTGTTATTCTTGAATGTGTTCCAAAGGTAGAAGCGTTCAAGAATTTAAGGGAAGAAACACTGGATTTATTGTGTGATAGTTTGAAGCCAGTTTTCTACGCTGAGCAAACTCACATCGTTCTCAAAGGAGAGCCAGTTTATGAGATGCTCTTTGTGGTGCAAGGCAAGCTCTTGGTCATGGACACAATAACTGCCTCTACAAGCACTGATCATAGCGAAGATGATGGCGAAAATGATCATCATTTGGTTGATGGTGACTTCTGTGGAGAAGAACTTGTGGCTTGGGCTCTAGATAGTCACTCATCCAACCTCCCTGTGTCAACCAGTACCATTCAGGCACTCACAAATGTTGAAGCCTTTGGGCTTATGGCAGATGACCTGAAAAATGTATTCATATAGAGCAAAGGGTCTCTAGCTCTGCTGAATTGAACTTGAATAACCAGCCAACTGTAGCTCGACGTCTCTGTCGTGGTCGAAGGAATCCAGCAAAAGTGTATCCTGGGAATTAAAGTCTGGCCTACAAGTTAATTGCTCATATCATTTGTATAATATGATCTCCTGCTTTATGTGTGGTTTTGGAACTATAGTTACTATTGTATCATGTACAAAAGCAACATGTAAAAATATAGAAAAACCTATAGGTTGTGTGAGAATGTACAAGTAATTTTTTGCAATCAGATTTGATGTAGAAACTACTGTGTGCAACAATAATCTATATGTTTGGTTTTGTTGTATACGTGAGAAGTAACGACAGAAATCTACTCTTTCTTCTAACCAATGTGAAAGTTAAAGACACAGCAAGGCCAAAAGTAAAATGATATTCTGAATGTTAGTTGAAATCATAAAGAGGAAAACATCATCAAATCGTTAAAACCATTTCAATTCAGTGGTAACAATCCAGATCCACCTAATAAAAAGCCAATGCAAACTAGTATTTGATTATACTCGGCCATCTATTAGTTGTTGGACGACACAGTGATACATATGCTTAATATATATACTCAAAGAGCTAGAAGGTTAATCAATATTACCCTTCTACAATATAACTGCAGGCTACAGAGCTTACTATGATGCCAAACCTCATATCCAGCCTATAATTTCCTACAACACTACACATTATCAGTTTGTATTCCAAATCTTTTAACATTCACGCCAAAAAATTCTCTCTCAAGGAATGCCTCTGCCTGTCAATTTCACCTCCAGAAAACTATCAAGACTCGTAAAATGATGAGGCTGAAGGGAAGTAGCAATGGCCTTAGATGTATTAAAAGTGGTGCATAAACACTCATGGGATAATGCTGTTCAGAGGAGACGAAGTACTTGCTCTGTGACACCTCCGATGTTAATAAATATGGTGATGGTGGCAACTCAACCTCAACTGCATAAAGACACAAAATACAAGAGTCTATGAAGTTGGAATGTATCCATGATGCTCTTCAATCTGGCATTGTGGAGGTGAAATATTTTCCCTAGAAGTTTTTACATTGTTTCTTATGGGGCCTGAAAACCTTGGTACTTGCAATTTCTAATATTAATGTTGGATATGTTTTTTTGCCGGTGTTGTGGTTGAGAAATAAATTAGGGGTGAGCGGTTCGGGTACCCTGCACTTTTCCGGGGAACCGGACCGGAATCGCACAGTACAGGTTTCAATTCAAGGAACCAGAACCTAAATGCAGGTTCCGGTTTCTTTCAGGGTACCCTGTAAAAAATCAATTACCCCCCTATTAGTTTATTAAAAATAACCAAAAACACCTTATAAGTTACAAATGCACCCCTAACAAATTTTCGGTATTCATTCATTGGTGTCCAATGTAACTCGTAACCTGTAATCTCTAAGCAACGCTTGAATTCAATCAATTCATACAATTCACATAAAATTCGTCAACAAAACCAAAACACAAAACAATTATCATCACAATTCACATAAATAACATTCACCAAAAATTTAAACAAACAACAATTCTTAATAAAATTACTAACATTGCCATTTGCCAGGGGTCTATTTGATAAGTTAATAAATTATAATGTTTATAATTTATTAATTTAATGTTATAATTGGTTAATTGGGTATTTATAATATACCAAATATAATTGTAAATTTAATATAGAAACAAGTATGTTATAATTAAATAAGTGATCATACTACAATGTAAATTGTAATGTATAATAATTAAGTGATCATACACAATGTAAATTTAATGTATAATTAATTAGTAATTATATTTAATTATAATGTTATTATAATTATTAAATGTTAATCATTTAATTAAGTATTATAATATTGTTATAATAGAATGTTATAATTAATAAATAATCATACCATAAATTTATAATATAATGTTATAATAATAAAATTAATAATTCATTAAATATTGTGCAAATTAGTAAATTACTAATGTTTATAATAATGTCATAATCAATTAGTAATAATTTAATATGTAATGTTATATTAATTATATGATCATTATAAAGTATAATGTATGTTATAATGATTAAGTAATCATACTACAATCTATAATTTAATATTTAATTAATTAAATTTCAAATCATTTAATTAATATACTAATGTTTATAATGGAAGTTATAATGATAAGTAATCATATTACAAATATATAAAGTAATGTTATAATAATTAAATTTAATCGTTTAATTAAGTAATGTATATATAGTAAATTACTAATTTTATAATGTAATGTTTAAATTATACTAATTAATAATTATGCAATCATTTAACTATATAATGTATAATTAAGTAAGTGATTATAATATAATGTAATTAATAATATTATAATTTAATTGGTAATTATTAATATAATGTAATGTAATTATGTTTATAAGGTAAATGTTATAATTAATTAAATCTTATTCATTTAATTAAGTTGTGCTAATGTTTATGTAGTAAATTAGTAATTACTAATGCAAATATAATATCATAACTCAATCAATAAGTAATAATTTAATTATGTAATGTTATATAATATATGATCATACTAATAGTATAATGTAATGTTATAATGAATTAATAATCATACTACAAACTATAATTTAATATTTAATTAATAAATTTCAAATCATTTAATTATATATAATGTTTATAATGGAAGTTATAATTGATTAAGTAATCATATAAAATATATAAGTAATGTTATAATTAATTAATTTTTAATCGTTTAATTAAGTAATGTAATATATAGTAAATTATAATGTTTATAATGTAAGTTATAAATTCATAACTATAATAATTATGTAATCATTTAACCATGATAATGCTATAATTAGTAAGTAATAATAAATGTAATATTATAATATATAATTTAATTGAGTAATTATTTAACTATAAGTAATAAGTTAATTAATGTTTATAATGAAATGTTATAAGTAATGTATAATTAATTAAATTTTATCATTCAATTAAGTATGTGCTAATGTATATAATAAATTAGTAATTACTAATGTTTAAAATATAATATCATAACTCATAATCAATTAAGTAATTAATTTAATATGTAATGTTATATAATTATTGATCATACTTATATAGTATAAGTAATGTTACATGAATTAAATAATCATACATAAATCTATAATTTAAATTATAATTAATTAAAATTCAAATCATTTGATTAATATACTAATGTTTATAATAGAAGTATAATGTTAAGTAATTATATTATAAAAATCTAAGAATGTTATAATTAATTAAATTTTTAGTTTAATTAAGTAATGTAATAATATAGTAAATAGTAAATTATAATGTTATAATGTAAGTTATAAAATTAATAACTAATTATATAATTATATAATATTTTAACTAAGTAATGTTATAATTAGTAAGTGATATAAATATAATGTAATATAATAATATTATAATTTAATGAGTAATATTTAACTATAATGTAATGTTAATTAATGTTTATAATGAATGTTTATAAGTAATGTTTATAATTAATTAAATTTCTATCATTTAAAAGTATTATGCTAATGTTTATGTAGCAAATTAGTAATTACTATGTTTAAAAATAATATCATAACTCATAATCAATTAAGTAATTATTTAATTATGTAATGTATAATTAATATATAATCATACTATAATGTAAAGTTATAGAGATTAATTATTAAATAATCATACTATAAATTTTTAATGTAATATTATAATTAATTAAATTTTAATCATTTAATAAGTTTGTACTAAGTGTATAATAAGTCATAATTAAGTAGTAATCAATTAATGTAATGCCATAATTAATTATACTAAAATCAATTAAGTAATTATAAAATTATAATAATTAAGGATCATTAACTATAATGTAATGTTATAATTGATTAATATGATATTAACTAGTAATTAAATTTATTAATGTTTACAATTTATCATATATAATTAATAATTACTATTTATAGATATACTTAGAAATTGATAATTGAAGTAAATAACTAAATATATTATTACTCATCAATATACTATTTTATTCAAAATAATTCTTTTAATAACATTAAAAATGTAAAACACTTTAATTGGATCATAATTCAATTATTACTTAATGATAAAACTTAATA